GCACTGTCCCTCCACCCTCCCAAGCATGATGCCCCTCTCCACGGACAGGTCCCTCCTTGCAACTGTCCAAAGTATGTCAGACGGAGCTTCAGAAGCCTTGCCTCCAAGGAGAAACCTGGCTTCACCCTCTCCAGGACAAACCTATTTCTTTTCCTAGCAACCCATGGTATATTAAATACTCTTATCCAACAGCACAGCTCAAAGGCATCAATTCTCCTTCTAATCTCCCTCGTCATTGTCCAGCTCTCTGATGCATAGTAAGTGATGGCAAAAACCATGGCATGTATCAGACACATCTTAGTCTCCAGACTGACATCTTTGCACTTCAGTACTTCAGAGAGGTCTCAAACCACAAACTCTCCCATCATAATATCCTGGCTGCTGGTGCCAAGAGTATTTTTTTTTTTTTGGTGCCAAGAGTATTGACTGTGGATCCAAGCAAACCAAAACCATGAGCAATCTCAATCTCTTCACTATCTGTTATGATGCTACCAATTGGCCTAGTGGTGAGAATCTTTGTTTTCTTGATATTGAGTCTCAATCCATACTGAAGACTGCAGTCCCTGACCTTCCACAGCAAGTGCTTCAGCTCCTCCTCAGTTTCAGCAAGCAGAGTTGTATCATCAGCATAATGCAGATACTGCTGCTAAAACCCATTGAAGTGTCAGCTTTGCATCTTTTCTAACTCAGTATTACCACACAACAACATTTGAATACCATTTGACATATTTCAGCAAACTGATGCAGGCTTGGATATGCTCACTATGTCCCAAGAAATCTAGAGGACAACTACCTGGCCAACTGACTGGAAGAGATCCCATATTTATTTCCATTCAGAAATAAAGGTGATATGACAGAGTGTGGAAATTATCAAATAGTATCACTAGTATTACACACAAGCAAGATCCTACTGCAGATTATTTTTAAAAAAACTGGTGCAGTTACATCAGCAGAGACTGTCAGTTGTGCAAGCAGGGTTTAGAAGAGGCTATAGCAGGAGGAATATTATAGTTTGAGATGGATCTTAGCTGAAAGCAGAGAACCACAGAAATGTCTATAGGTGTTGCCAAAGGAATTTGACTGTGTGGATCACAACAAATTGTGGGTAACCTTGAGAAGAACGGCAATCCCAGAACATTGAATTGTACTAATGCAAAACCTATACCTGGACGAGGAAGCAGTCATCAGAACAGAGTAAGGGAACACTACATGGTTCAAAATCAGAAAAAGTATACATCAGCGATGCATCGTATCTTTATACATTTTCAATCTCTATGTGGAACATCTGATTCAAGAAGGAAGACTGTAAGAGGAATGTGACATCAACATTGGAAGATGTATCAACAACCTGCACTATGCAGATGGCACACCCTTGCTTGCTGTAACTGAGGAGGGCCTGAAGCATTTGCTATAGAAGACCTAGGACTGCCTCCTTTAATATCAATTGAAGCTCAACCTCAAGAAAATGAAGAATCTTATACTGGACAATTTGGCAGCATCATGATAGATGGAGGAGAGATTGAGATTGTTAACAGCTTCAGCTTGCTTGGCTCCACAATCAGCACTGCTGGTACTAACAGCCAGGAAATGAAAAGAAAAATAGCAGTGGTAACAACTGCTGTCAGGGACCTCTCCAGAGTACTGAAGAGCAATGACATCAGTCTGGAGACTAAGGCACGCCTAACCCAAGCCATGGTCTTTTCAATAACTTGCTGTGCATCAGAGAGCTGGACAGTGAATAAGGAAAATAGAAAAAGAATCAATGCCTTTGAATTGCAGTTCTGGAGAAGACAGTTGAACATACCATTGACTGCCAAGAGAACAAACAGGTCATTCCTGAAGAGGGGGAAACTAAGCTGCACGTTGGAGACAGAGATTTTGTAGCTCTGCCTCACATATGTTGGACATGTGGCCAAGAGGGGCCAGTCCTTGGAGAAGGACATCATGCTTTGAAAGGTGGAGGAACAGCACAGGAGAGGAAAACCCCAGATGAGATGAACTGATTCAGTAATTGGGTTAATAGTGATGTGTTTGTCAGAGACAATAAGATTGTCTCAGGATAGCACAGAGTTCAGAGATATTGTACATAGGGTTGCTATGAGTCCCAAGCAACTCAATGGCTCATAAAAACAACAGTATACATATATTGAATGACCTGAAAAGAATAAGGGAATATGGTTGCTGTGCTGGTTTTTAAACATTGTTTATTTTCTTCTTTAATTTCTAAGCATTCAGTAATATTTTTGCATTTATAATTAAAATTTTCTTATCTTCTCATAATAAGAAGAACTTGAAATCAAAATCTTATATCACAATTTATTCTAGCTATAGAGACACAGGAACCAAAGTTTGAATTTAAAAATAAAATCAGGAACAGGTTTGAGGCCTTGAACATTAATGAAAAAAGACCAGATGAGCTTTGAGAGGAAATCAAGAATGTCATTCATGAAGAAAGCAAAAGGTCTTTGCAAAGACAGAGAAGAAATAAAAGACTAAGTTAGATGTCAGTAGAGACTCTGTATACCGCACTAGAGTCCCAAGAAGCCAAAGGAAAGAGAAGAAATCAGGAAGTTGAAGAGTTAAACAGAAGATTTCAAGGGGCAGCTGGTGAAGAGAAAACAAAATATTATGATGAAATGTGCAAAGATCTGGAGTAGAAAAAAAAAAGAACGATCTCACTTGACTTTTCTTGAGCTGAAAGAAGCAAGCTCTGAGTTGCTATACTTAAGGATGCTATGAATAGATTAGTAAATGATCCAGGAAGCATTAAAATAAGATGGAAGGAATACACAGAATGTCTGTACCAAAATTAGCTGACCCAGTAGAATTCCATGAGAAAATGTATGATCAAGAGGCAGTGGTGATGATGGAGGAAGTTCAAGTTGTTCTGAAAGAATTGGAAAGAAAACAAGGCCTCAGGTGTTGATGAAGTACCAGTTGACATATTTCAGTGGACAAATGTTACCTTGGACATACTCACTAAGTTATGCCAGGAAATCTGGAGGACAATGCATGGTTAACTGACTGGAAGAGATCCATATTTTTCCCCATTTCAAAAAAAAGGGTGACCCGACAGAGTGGAAATTATTAAACAGTATCACTGATAGATATCACATGCAAACAAAGTCCTGTTGAAGTGTATCCAAAAATGACTGTAAAAGTACATGAACGAGCTACCAGAAATACAGGCTGGATTTTGAAGAGGCAATGACACCAGAGACATTACCACCAAGAGTCAGATGGATCTTGGAAGAAAGCAGAGTACCAGAGGAATGTCTGTCTGTGTTCATTGACCATGCAAAGGCATTTGACTGTGTGGATCACAACAAATTGTGGTTAACCTTGAAAAGAATGAGAATTCCAGAACTCTTCATTGTTCTTATGTGAAACCTTTGCTTGGACCAGGAAGCAGTCCTCAGAACAGAGCGAGGAAACATTGCATGGTTCAAAATCAGGAAAGGAGTGTGTCAGGGATGCAGTCTATCTCCGTACGTTTTCCATCTATGTGCATAACATATCATCCAGGAGGCTGGACTTTATAAATCAGAATCAGATCTTAGGAAGACTCATCAACAACCTACATTATGCAAATGACAAAACCTTGCTTACTGAAACTGAGGACCTAAAGTTTTTGCTGTAGAACATCAAGGACTATAATCTTCAAAATAGATTGAAGCTCAACATCAAGAAAATAAAGATACTCACCACTGTGCCAATGACAACACCATGATAGATGGAAAAGAGATTGACATTGTTAAGAATTTTCGTTTTCTCGGATCCACAATCAACACTCTTGCCATGAGCAGCCAAGAAATTAAAAGATTGGGGATAGCCACTCTCAGGGACCTCTCCAGAGTGCCAAAGGGCAGTGATGTCAAGTATGGAGAGACAAAGTTGCACCTTGTTTCAGGTCATGGTTTTTTTTCAGTTACTGGCTATGCATCAGAGAGCTTGGCAGTGAGTTGACAGGAGAAGAATATCTGATGCTTTTGAGTTGTAGTGCAAGGTTCCATTGTGTAATGGTTAGCTTTCTAGACTGACTGAGTTGTGGAGCTGGAGAATAGTGTTGAACATACCGTGGACTGTCAAGAGGCCTAACATGTTCTATGTTAGGTGAAACCAGGATGCTCCTTGAAGGCAAGGATTTTGAAGCTCTATCTCACATACTTTGGGCATGTGGCCAGGAGGGACCAGTCCCTAGTAAAAGACATCATGCTTAGAATGGTGGAGTAACAGCAGAGGAGAGGAAGACTCTGGATGAGATGGATTGACATAGTAACTGGGGTAATAGAGGGAGGTTTGTCAGAGACAGTGAGACTGGCTCAGGACAGGGCAAAGTTCAGAACTGTTGTACTGTGTTATTGCTGACTTGTAGGCAATGTGATGACACATAACACCAACAGAACCATAGAAGAAAGTAAAGAGCTCATACATTTAGAAATAAGTTCATCATAGTTGGCACTAGCATTTCAGTTGAGTTTCTTCTTGGTTCCTCTCTGAAATTGATAATTTAAAAGTTTGGCTGTTGATAATCCTTCATCCTTCTTGACTGTCACTTCTCCCATATTCTCCTTTACCCTTACACTCTTCAGTTGACCTACAGCTTTGTCATCTAGACCAACAGTTATCTCACAGCATCTCTAATACATGTCTAAATATTCTTGAATCTGGTGGTTTAGTGGTAGAAAGTTGAGCTGCCAACACAGAGGTACATGGTTTGTATTCACCAGTAGCCACTTACTCCCTTAGAAAAGCCTCTGGAGGGTCAGTTCTGGGTCATTTCCACCTCGACAATGTACATCAATAATAACTATAAGATGTAGATGTTGGTGTGTTTATTAGTATATTTAGGGCTAGAGGATTATCTTTATTTTCCTCCTAAAATAACAAATACAGAGAGTACTTTGATTAATTTTAAGTGCTTCCTTGATTTTTGTTTGTTTGTTTTTGCAAGATTTCATGTGGCTATCATTCCCCTTAAACAGTGTTTCTATTTTCAGGGAAATTTTGGTGAAGTGTACAGGGGCATATTAAAGGATAAAACTGCTGTTGCTGTTAAAACTTGTAAAGAAGATCTTCCTCAGGAGTTGAAAATAAAATTTTTACAAGAAGCCAAGTGAGTTCTCTTTCAAAAATGAGTGTTTATAAGTGAAAAACCAGTGTATGTCTGAAGACATTTTAAGTTGTGCTTTGCTAAAGTAGTAAGTAAGCATTTTCAGGACCCTTGCAAATAAGTACTTTTCACAGTTTAGGAACAAGGTGTTTGTTTTTGAGGCTGACTGAAGATTAATTAGGCAATCATAGTCAAATAACCAGTAGTAATAAGCAATAAATGAGGATTTACTGATGCTTTAGAAACTATTACCTTATTTTTTTCTTTTCTCACATATATATGAATGTGTTTATTGCTTTTATTATAGAAATGGTACAGTATTATGTTCGTAAGATAGACCACTTCATATACCTTACCATTTTTAGATATCACAACTTTATTCTCTTTTTACAGCTATCCTTTAAGGAAACCTCAATTACGTTTCCAACTAAGTATTCTAGCATTTATTCCATAATTTGTGCTTTTTTAGCTAATTGAGCTTCTGTAATTCTGTTCCCTTTTTATGTTGTGCTAGGTAAAGTTGAGTATTCTACCTGGCTTCCCCCAGTTTATTCGACAGTTAATTCTATTACTATTAAAAGTTAAGTATACAGTAAAATGCAAAGTAAATGAAAAGTACTTTTGGCAGAGTAAGAAAGGTAAAAATGGGTAGGAGATGAGTAGAAGAGTAAATCGATACATGAATGTGTGGATGGAAAGGAGACACAGGGTGTATGAATGTATAAATATGTAGTATATTGGGAGGAATGGAAGTAAGCGTGTGCATATGTTTATATGTTTGTGTCTATATTTGTGTGTGTAGTCTTCATCACGGCTTGGCATGTAGGATGGAATATATAAAATACATTGAGAAATAAAAAAGGCAACAAGAAAATAAGCCCAGGGTATGGATTATGATGGCATATCATTTTCCTATTCATTGATAACAATAAATTAAGCTAATTCAATGTTTTTATTAAATACTAGCTATGAATAATGTTATAAACCTTTTTTATTTCACATGTACACCTAAAAATTCAGAAAAAATATTCTCAGGAAAAATGTCCCGATTTTACAAATTAAAATTCCATAGCATCTTTATTTTATACATGTTCATATGTAAAGATTTTATCATAACTTATAAACACATGCACTTAACTTTTTAAATACTTGAATAATTCTATTGCTTCTACTTTGTTAGTTCTGCTTCAACAGAAGAGTTAAATTTCATCTTTTGACATAAAATTAAATGAGATTTCATAGTTTGATTTTAAATGGAAACTATATAACTATACTAAGTGTCCCTCACAAGACTTTAAAACTATATATTTAGATATTTAATGTTATATAGTTAGATATTTAATGTTAGCTATTTCATGCCATTTCATGGAATTTCTTTACGAAACAGGTCCTCTAACCTAAGTGATGACATTTCATATTAAAATCATACTTTCTTAAACTTCAAAATGTGTTCTAGTATGTGTTTTAAGCTTCTGTTTCTTCTAATACAGTTGTTATATTCTCTTAGGAGAGAAAACTGCAATATTTTAATATGTGTGAAGTTTTAACTGTTATAATAGTAAGAAGCAAATTTTGATATTAGAAATAATCTGATTTTTATTCTATTTATAATTTATCTATGTTCATATATAGATTTTTTTATCTTAGTCATATATTCTTACATAAGAATTTTCTAAAGTTGGAGTTCCATTTTCTTGTGTCATTGCAAGTCAACATCTTTTATACTAAGTAGCTTATTTCTATGCAGTATAGTTAATCATTCAGATTGCATGATAAATTTTAAATGAAGATTTATTCTAATTAAGTAAAAATTATCATAGATTGAAGTAATGATGAAATTTTAAAAACTAGATTGTTACGATGAAAGTCCATTCTGTTGGTATATATTATGTATGACCAAAGTTAGTACTTTATTAATTATGCTAATCATCTTTATATAACCAGCTTTATATGATTTTCTTCTTATCCAGAATTCTCAAACAATATGACCATCCCAATATTGTTAAACTTATAGGAGTTTGTACACAAAGACAACCTATCTACATCATCATGGAACTGATTCCGGGTAATGTATTTTGAAAGATTGTTATATGTTTTGAATTTTATATGTTCAGTCTCCAATTTCTACTTTTAAAGTTTCCAAGAACTTTACATTTTCCTAATGACACAGGACTTGTACACAGATAGATGTTTTTAATAATCTATAATCTTTCTCTTTCCTATAGTGTTGTGCAATAATTGTCGTATTGTGTTTGTTTTTCAAGAGATCTATTTATAATTATAGTGCCATTACACATTGAATCTATTCATAGAGTTTATTTGAGAAAAGACCTTTAAAAAGAGTCTGCCTTTAGAAGAGCATTGATTTTATAGCAATTATAATAATTTGTTTCTTTTAATGTAATATTTTTTAGACATTGAATTTCCATATATCCTCTTGTTTAATTCTTACATAATCCTACGCTGAGCCAATTATAAATTAAACTTCATGCATATGTGGACAGAGGGGAGAAAATCTGTCTTTGGATTTGTGCTGATATTTCTTTCTGCTTAATATTATAAGGGCTTTTCTGTAGTTACTGTTGTCAACACAGAAGGACAACTTTCAAGTGATTGTATTTTTATATTTTTAATTTCCTGCTATATAAAATGCAACAACAAAGATTAATTTTTGTTTTAGTTAGATTTACTGAATATTATCCACAGTCAACACTCTTGGCTCCAGTAGCTAGGAAATTAAGTGGTGCATTGCCATGAGAAAGTCTGCTGTTAGGGACCTCTCCAAAGTACTGAAGAGCAATGGTGTCTCTCTGGAGACTAAGGTGCATCTGATACAGGCCATGGTCTTTGCAATCACTTGTTATGCATCAGAGAGTTGGACAATGACCAAGGAGGACAGAAGGAGAATTGATGCCTTTGAGCTGTGATGCTGAAGAGTATTGAGAGTACTTTGGACTGCTAAGAAAACAAACAGATTCATCTTGGAAAGGGTTAAACCTGGTGGCTCCTTGGAGGCAAGGATTCTGAGGCTCCCTCTAACCTACTTTGGACATGTTGTGAGGAGAGACTGGTCTTTGGAGGACATCATGCTTGGGAGGGTAGAGGGACAGCGCAGGAGAGGAAGGCCCTCTATGAGGTGTATTGATTCAGTGACTGGGATAATCAGGATGGGAGTGTCAGAGACAGTGCGATTGGCTCAGGACAGAGCAGAGTTTAGGGCTGTTGTACATAGGGTCGCTATGAGTCACAAGCGACTCGATGTCATGTAACAACAACAACGTATTTAATAAATTATTTGTTTCACCTTGACTTATTTTTCTTCTCACATAGAAAGCAACATGAAGAAACATTTCCAACTTTAATTAAAATCCATTAATTAAACTTAATTTTTTAAAACATAATATTTTAGGATTTCTATTAAATGCTATCTGCATATTTTTTCCACTGTTTAAGGATTATCAATGGTTTTTTTATCACACTGATTTGTTTGCTATTATAATACTTCTTGATATTACCATATAATTAAGGAATTATTAAATTGATGTCATGTTCATCAGGATGCCATTGTGTTAGATACAATGTATATTTTCATGGTTTGCCCTAATCACTTACTATCTATCTATCTATCATCTATCTATCTTGAAGTGGTTGTGAAAAGATGAACAAGTAAAAAAGCTAAAAAATTTTATTAGCCCATAGAAATAATTAACATGTGATATCTAAGTATCATAAATAGAGACTAATATTCCCAAAGGTGCTACTGGTCTTATATGGAAGCTGTTAGAGAGATTCCTTTACCAAAGTCATTCAGATTATTGACAGAATACCATTCTTTGCACTTACAGTCTGATGTTCCTGGGCTTTTTGTTGAGTGTTAATCTGGGGTCATGGCTCAACTCTTTGTGGTTTCACACATTCTTTTTCTATTAGCCTCATGCTTCATCAGAGCCAGCAAAGTTAGTGTTTGGGGTTTTTTGGGGTTTTTTGATGTTAATTTATTTATTTTTCATTTCAATGAACATCTACAGAGATTTTGGAATTCCATTCATTCATTGTGGCACCCTTCTCCCCGCCCACCCCACCTCCACCCCTCTCCCCCCCACCCTGTTTGCTCCTCTCCTTGAAGAGCAAAAGAAAAGTTAGTGTTTTTAATGTTCTCTGACTTCCTCTTCTTTTACCAGAAGTGTATACTCTCTAATTTTAAACAGGCTCATATGATTAGAACAGGTGCACCTGCATTATCTTCAGTTCAACTTCATCAAATGTCAGAATGTTATGATGAGAGTGATATATATTTAAAATTACAAATTCCATAGGATCAGAATAGTCATCCTTGAGAGGTCATCTTTGAGTGCTACCTATCACAGGTGTTTGTTGTTGTTGTTGTTTTTGCTGTTCTTAGCTACCTTTCAGTCTAGTAACCCTATGAACAATAAATTTGAACACTGTCCTATTCTGCACTATCCTCATCATCTCTTGATCTATTTGAGCCCATTGCTGCAGTCATTATATCAGTGCCTTTTATTTTTTTATTATTAATTTTAATGAACATTTACAGAGACTTTGGATTTCCATTCACCCCTTGTTGCATTTTTCTTCCTGCCTACCCCTTCCCCCACCCCGTTCGCTCTTCTCTTTGAAAAGTAAAAGAAAAATTCTTTTATTGTTATACAACCCCCACCCCCCACCCTGCAGTCTGCTCCGCTATGCAGCATTCATTCTGGACTCTTGTCATGACAACAATATCTAATCATATATCCCTTTTAAACAGTTCTCTCCCATATCTGTTTCAGTGTAGTATGCATTATTTATTCCCTCTTTCTCAGACTCCCCCCAACCTCAATGTCAGTCCTGTTTTACAACAGTGTCACTATGCAATATTTCTCCTTTTATGACTGAGATATTTCACCCAACATAATGTCCTCCAGGGTCATCCATTTTGTATAATATTTCATGAGTTCTCTGTTTTTTCGTGCAGCATAGTATTCCATTGTGTGAATATACCACAGCTTCTCTATCCATTTGTTTGTTGATGGGCACTTAGGTTACTACCAACTCTTGACTATTGTAAACAAAGCCACAATAAACATGGATTTGCATATATCTGCTTGGAGGTCAGTTATGGTTTCTTTGTTATGGTTTCTTTGGGGTATATTCCCAGTAGTGGAATTGCTGGGTCAAATGGTATTTCTATTTGCAACTTTTTGAGAAGGCACTATAGAGCCTTCCATAGTGGTTCCACCATTTTATACTCCTATCAATAGTGAACAAAGGTTCCGTTTCTCCACAACCTTGCCAGCATTTGATGTTTGATGCTGTCAGTCCCTTTTGATGGGGATTTTCCTTTCTTTACTCACCCTCGACCTTTGCAAGCATGATATCCTTTCCAAGGAGTAACCTATCCTAGCAACATGTCCAAAGTATGTGAGATAAAGCATTGCCATCATGGCCTCTAAGGAGCAACCTGGCTGTACCTCTTCTATACTTGTTTTTTCGTTCTTTTGGCATTCCGTGAGATGTTCAGTACTCTTCTCCAACACCACAGTTCAAAAAGCATCAGTTCTTCTGTCATTTTTATTAGTGTCCAGCTCTCAGATGTATAACAAGTGATAACAAAAGCCATGGCCCAAATCAGGTGCATCATAGTCTTCAAACTGACATCATTACTCTTCAGTGTTTAGGAGAGGTCCCTCACAGCATCCTTGCCCAATGCAATTCCCCTCCTTACATCTTGACTGCTGGCTCCAAGGATGTTGATTGTGAATCCATGTGAGATGAAATCCATTACATTTTTAAATTCAATTCAAAACCGTCAGTCAAAATTAACTCAGCTGATGCTCCTGTGGATTTTTAGAGACTATAAATTGCACTGGAGTAGATTGCCCAGCTTGCTCTCTTAGAGTAAGTGGTGGATTCATGCCATTTGTCTTTGCATTGACAGTGCAATTCCTTACACACTAAACCATCAGAATTTTCTAAATTTACAAAAGGGATAAAAAAAAATGTATAAACCTTTTATGAATTAAAAATACAAGTGAAAACTCAAATAATATACCTATACAAGATGTCCAATGAGTAAATAAATGAATCCCCATCCCATAATCTCTCAACTTTGTGTACAGATAGGTAAATAGCTTATTGCAGTCAACAGGAAAATTTTTTCATTATTTTTCTTTCTATTGGGAATCAACTATGAAAGGATGATTTAGTAAACTGGTAGACTAAAAGCAAGTTTTAATAACTGCTTCGTGTCTAATATGCAAACCATTTCTAAAATGGCTTATGTAAAAATTTAATATTCTCCTGGTCTTGTCGGATAACGGAGCATTTCGGAATCATAAGTCTGAAATATATTTTAACTAAAGTAATGTTTGGGAAGATTATAAGCAGTTAGAATGCAATTTTAGAGTAAATACTCCAAGATGATCCTGTCTTTATAAGAACAACCTCTTGAATTATGAATACTTTGTTTTTTATTTGCTGGTTATGTAAAATTGAAATAAAATGCCATTCTGAATGGTAGTAAGAAATACTAAAACTGAAACAAATAGAAGTGAAAATATTATCCCATTTTAATTTGCAGAGCTATTTTAAATTTGAATAAGAAAACACGGAAAGAGTCTTTGTATAAAAATAGTTATAAGCTATGACTTAAATGAACTTATGATCAAGGCAATTCTTAAGTATTTTTATTTATTTCATGTATGTGATTAAATTAGATTGCTGAATAGACACAGGATTGACACCTAACCTTCCCTGTGAAGACACTAAATAGAGCTGATGAATTGTTGAAATGTTTTTTTAAAAATGTTAGATTTGTAATTACTTCTTTCTTTACAAGCTTCATATTCTCTTTAAGGTCAAAACTTCTTAGAATTGATTGATTATTATATTACCTGGTACATTTTTCTACTCACATATGTACATGCCCTTTGGCAAGCCTCAAAAATATCCTAATTTCAAAATTATTTATGACTTTGGAACATGTAGAACTGTTAAAATGTTTTCTTTCACCAGGTTTGAGGCATTGTCAATATATGTCTAAGATTCATGGCATGACATTGT